TGTCCCTTGAGGGTGCCCTCCTTGTTCTGAGTTATCGGGCATGGCACTCCTCCTTGAGGGGATGAACAGCAGATGCAGACGAAGTTCCTTGGGTGTAGCAGAGGTCCTCGTATTCCGGCATGCACGTCTAGACGAGCCAGGATTGCATCTAAATATTCTCAGATGCTGGCTGGGCGGGCAAGAGGAACCCTGCACTGTCTGGTAGGCCGTGTGAGACTCCTGCGTGTGTCCTGCCATCTGGCCCCATCAGAGTAGGTTGTCCACCTTGACCTCTTCCGCCTCTGTGGTTCCTGTGACAAAGGAAGGGGGTGCGGTGGCTGGGATGCAGGGAGCCCTGGAGGCTCAAAGACACCCTTGGCTGTGAAGGACGGTGGGGGTGGGTGGGGGGGGTGGCAGCCCTTGGGCAAGAGGCTCTCTCCTTTGAGCTTACTTTGCAGGGTGGGTGTGCTCTCTTGGAAGATCCCTGGAGAAATGCTGGCGGTTAGTAAATACTTGCTGAATGCCCCCTCTGCTCAGCGTATTTGGTCATTGTGGCTGCATCTAGGCCGTTTGTTTGTTATAGAGCCAAACTTTCATAGCAGTTAGTCTCTTGTCAGTGGGAAAGGACCGTAGCATTTTCCACTTCTGGTTGACTACGGAGCTTAGTTTTCTCTTCCAGACCAGGCTTTGGGATGGAAGTCTCTGGTCAGCAGGACCCTCCAAAAAACTGGCTCTGTTGTGTCCTTATCTGAAGAGCGCGGGGGGGGGGGGATATGCCTGTTGTCTGGAGTCTAAGATACGGACTTCTCTTTGCTTGAGTGTTAAAGATGTGAAAATGTGTGGGGGGTGGGGGTGGGGTTCTCCACGGGATCTTTGGAATGTGGGATTCCACCGGGGCAGTAGTGCCAGGAGACCTCATCAAATGGGTGCTGGGGTCATCGTGAAAGACGGTGGGGCTTCCCCTGTGTGATTGTTGTGGTTTCTTAAGGGAAGCCCCCTCCTCCGCATCCAGTGGTTTGGAGGACTTCCTTGGAGCTGGTGCCGGATTCTGACAGCAGCTGTTTCCTTTCTGCTCGTCGCAGTGCACGATGTTCATGTGTTGTGCGATCCTGATCACCATTGTCCAGTACTGTAACTTCTGCCAGCTCAGCTCTTGGATGCGGTCGTCTCTGGCCACGCTCGTGGGGGTTGTCCTGCTCATCCTGCTCTACGTGTCTCTGTGTCCTGACAGGTGAGCCTTGAAAGATATATCACTACTTTGGTGTGTGCTGCCGCTGCTGCCGCAGATGGGCCTCTGTCGCCCAAGGGTGGGGAAGCTGCTCTCGTTCAGCTTTTATGGGGCCCTGGAGAACATCAGCTTTGACTTTGAAATTTCATCCAGGAATGAGGGGAGGAGGTTTGGGGCTGCGTGTTTCTCCGAGAGTCTGAGGAGCGGCAGGCTGTCCGGAGTTGCTCCTGCCGTTGCGTACCTTTGGTGCTTCCTTGTTGACGTGTGTTTCCCCTCGCGTTTCTCTTTCAGCTCCATGATCTCCCACCTGGATTCAGCACAGAACTTAAGGTAAGCATTGACATTTCTACTCACCTTCCTGATGCTCGCAGTCACCAGCAGGCCGTCTGTTTCCTGAGGTTTTATTATTATACCAAATCGGAAATATTCTGAGTTTCCATCACAAAACTGTAACAGTTCCTTTTCTCCTTCGTGAAAGCAGACTTTTCAAAAGCTGTTTTATGTTTTGGGTGTCTAGTTGTCGGGTGTGCTGGCTTTGTGGTCTCTCCGCTTCTTCATTTACAGTCATCTATAGTCCTGCCTTTCTTGCTGAACCTCCAAGGGCTGATTGCACAGTTTAAAATAATAATGCAGTAAGAGCAGTTGGAGATATGCAGCCAAACCTGGAAGGAAACCTTCGCCACCATTCCTCTTTTCAAGACTCCTCCCTGCCCATGCTGCTTTCGTCTCTGGAGGGGGAAAAAGACGGGTACCCGTGTTCTCCCTGTTGCCCTTTTTCCCCCCCCCCCCCCCCCGGCTGGGACTTAAAGCACTGGGAGGAAGCATCTTTGCCTGGAAAAACTGGCGTGAGGATAAGACCATCAGTGCCTCATCAGAGCCAGTTTGGTGTATGGTTAAGTACGCGGACTCTAATCTGGGAGAACCAGGTTTGATTCCCCACTCCTCCACTCACAGCTGCTGGATGGCCTTAGGCAAGCTGTAGTTCTGACAAGAGCTGTCCTTGAAAAAGAGCAGTTTTCAGTCAGAGCTCTCTCAGCCTCACCTACCTCATAAACTCTCATTTTTTAGCACAGTTATAGTCAAAACTGAGCTAACGTCAACATTTTATATAGGCACGTTATATAGTTTTGTCTTCCATACTTTGCACATGTTTATTACATTGGCTTGAGAAACTGCTATAGCGATAGGAGAGCAGTTCACTGGTCCAGTCACAACTGGAGGCATGACTGCATTTATGGCAGCTGCTCCTCACAATTCTTCAGTTTATTGAAGCTGTCTGGTTACGACCTGATCCAGTGGTTTAGTTCACTAGGAAGGGAGAACAGGAAACTCTGACTGTTTTTACCTGCCCATGATACAGCAGTGCTCTGGAGGAGGGTTGCAGATACTCCCTCAAGTGGCATTTCAAAGGTTTACAGGCCAAGCCAGGGAGCAGGATTGTGGGAGTAATCCCGTCTCGTACAACGTTTGGACAGACTGGTGGAGCGAAGCCGAGTGCTGCTTCAGTTCAGTTCAGTCAGTCTGAGTTCCCGCAGGCGCTTTTATCGAATTGCCCAGACAGTTTTCTAAGTGAACGTAATTTGTAGAATTGCGGGGCTAGAGAGGACATGAATGTAATCCGTTCCAGCACTCTGTACTGAGCCAAGAACCTTCATCTCCACATTCTGATGATGAGATTATAGCAGAGATGCATTGAGATTTCTATCATGCCAACTGCACTTGTAAAAAAAAAGGAATAGGTTTAGTCACCAGAACACGCACACACTGTTAAAGAGTGCTGCTAAATGCTCTGGGACATCCTGCTTTTGTTTCAGTAGAAAATCATGCGGATTCATTTAAATGGAGAACCTTTTTTTGTAAGTGTACATAGAAACAATCAATAGTGGATTAGACACAACAGAACAGACTGAGCGCGTGGGGGAAAGACATGGAAAAACTGGATTAAAAATTAGATCAGTGCACCAAAAGCAGTATAATGCAGATAAGGCAACAAAGATTGAAAGGCAGAACTGGCAAACAGTGCAATAAACCATATAATATATTGTTTATTGCACAGAGAACACAGCGCTGGAAACTGGCTAAAATCAATAAAAGCACTAAGCGACCTTTCACAAAAAGCTCCTGTGAACAGGGTTCCATTTCGCATTCTCTGTGGAATGGTGGCCGGGTGGGAGGTTTCCTTGTAGGTGAACCCTTGAATTGACCTTGAATTGAACCCATGAACAAACTGTAATATGCCTGTTCTGCCTTGCCCCTAGTTATAATTAAGTGGCGTTGTTCTGTGCCTGCTGAAGTTTCCGGGTTGTCCCGTGGTCTTGCTGGCTTCCCGAATCTTAGCTGCCAGGGGGAGCGGACGCTAAGAGCGGTCTGTGTGGGAAAGTTGTAGGGCAGGCTGCCTGCTGGGATTGCAGCCCGGGATATTCTCCTGTAAGCCCTTTTCTTTTATCGGACTGGCCCTTTCATTGGAAGATTTGGATATCCCGCCTTTTTTGTAGAATGGGACGTTGTAAGAGAAGTTTTTTTGGGGGGATCTTTGGAGAGTGACCATCGCCCACTCCTTACAGTGGTGGTGTTAATCTTGGTAAAGAGACCAGCTTGGACGTGGTGTTTGCCGGTGGTTTGTACTTCCAGTCAGAGCTTTGCCCGACTGCTGCCAGGCCATGTCCCCTCTAAGCTGAGTTAGTGTGAGCTAGCTCACAGTTTTTTAGCCTCCGGCTCACACATTTTTGTCGTAGCTCAGGAAGGAGGGGGCTCCAGCTCAGAGCAAAGTACTTTATGCAGTAGCCAAATCGCTTGTGGCTCACAACTTTAATGCCAGGAGCTCACAACGTAGAATTTTTGCTCACAAGACTCCACAGTTTAGATGGAGCATTGCAGCCAGGAGGAGGAGGAGATTGGATTTATACCCCACCCTTCACTACCCAAAGGTGTCTCAGAGCGGCTTACAAACTCCTTTCCCTTCCCCTCCCCACAACTGACACCCTGTGAACGAGGGGGGGCTGAGAGAACTCTGACAGAAACTGTTCTTTTTTCAAGAACAGCTGTGCCAGAACTACAGCTTGCCCAAGGTCATCCAGCCAGGTGCAAGTGGAGGAGTGGGGAATCAAACCCGGTTCTCCCAGATTAGAGTCCGCGCACTTCACCACTACACCAAACTGGCTCTCATGGACCATGGAGCATATTCAGATAGGCAGGTTGTGGTAAGAGCTACTACCACTGTGGGAAATGCCTGTTTTCTTCTTGTTGATGTGGTTCTTTTGCTTTTTTTTTTTTAGCTTTATGGAAACCTCCTATTTTGATTCAGCACAAAACTTCAGGTGAGCATTAACATTCCGTGGCCTTCTCTGGTTCCTGCTGGGCCTTCGAGCCCTTTGGCAATGAAAAAAGTGCAGCCGTTTAAAGCAAACCTGCTGTCAGGGGTAAGAGAGGAGGGCAGGTGTTAAAAATCCTGCATCCTGCAGAAGCAGTGGGGGAAATATGGGCCGTATTGGTACCGAATTAACTCCATGTAAAAAAAGTTTTCTGCTAACACCCTGATTTCCTCCTGCCAACCTAGCAGTTCGAAAGCAAGAAATTGCAAGTCGATAAATAGGTACCACTTTGGTGGGAAGGTAACAGCGTTCCATGCGCCTTGGTGTTTAGTCATGCTGGCCACATGACCACGGAAACGTCTTCGGACAGCGCTGGCTCTTCGGCTTGGAAACGGAGATGAGCACCGCAACCCTAGAGTCGGATTCGATTGGCTTTTGAGCAAGGGAAACCTTTACCTTTACTTAACACCCTGATTAATAGTAGGTGGGAGGAATGTGGCTGCCTCCAGAGTGTCACAGCTTTTTATTTTCCCTGGAAGAATTGTGTTGGCATTTGCCTTTTGGGCTTAACCCCAAGGCAGTATTGTCAGGCCTGTGTGACTTGAAATCCTGCTTAATTTCACAGGACTGGCTTTCAAGATTGCTTCCAACTGGGGAGCAAAAACCCCCCCCCAGTCGTGGGGGCGGGGAATCAGGTGGTGTGGGTGGGAACAGACTGAGAGCCCCCCCCCCCCGCTTTTCTCCTACCGTGCCTGTGCCTTACACATGTGTGGATACAATGCAGCAGAGAGTGAGTGTGGGTGATATGTGGAAACCCCCAGTAAATTTGGGGGCTTCCTGTTGTCACGTTCCCAGTCAAATCACTCTCTACACGCACTTTCTTCGGTGCATGTTTTATTTAGAGATATGAGATGCTGTGGGTTCAAACTCTTTGTTAGGACTGATTTGCAAGGTGGGAAACACAAGGTATAGTTACATCCCCAAATTCCATGCATTCAACGTCAGCATTACTACCGTGGTCCTGAAAGATATGCAACCACCGTCTACCCTGACACAGACTTTCCTCCAAGGACATTTCTCGTGAGAACAATGTCTTTGGGGCCTCTTCGGAAGATTACCAAGCGGCCTCCCTATTCCACTACGCACACACACTCCCCCTACCCCTCAGGAATGCAGTGGCAGGCGAGGGCAGCGATAAGATATCGCAAGCAGACAGAAGCAGGTAAATCATGGGGAAAGGTTACAGGTTGCAGGTCTTAAGCCAAACACATCATCAGGTGCCAGCCATTTGCCCGAAGGCCTGAGTCTGACACCTGTGTTCCACGAAGGGAAGCATCCAAAATAAATGGCTGGCTTCCTGCTGTTCCCTGTCGCTGCTCAAAGCGCTCCTGCAGCCAGAGGCTGTAGGTGAGGGGGCCTCGTG